GAGAATGTTTTCTGAAAGAACCGCCAAACTTTCAGAATCACATCGAGAGAAACGAATAAAAAACAACGTAAAATCTTTACAGGGGGTCATGAAATAAACACGGAGGCGTTAGATGACAGATTAACTTGAGCACTGCCTTGTGAAAATAGTCACGCCCCCTCCGTTTTGTTTTAGATATTCAAAAGAGATAACGTTAACCTCAAGCTGAATGTGTTGACTAACTTTATGGAACTAAATTTACATTTGATTAGTATCACATTTCTTGTAAACAATTAACTTTCTAATCTGTAAATAAACCTGAGAAACAACCCAACAAACAGCTGTAAGGTTTTTTAAAAAAGCTTATGTTGCTTATTTCACTGATATTAGAAACTTGCCTCCTTAATACGCTCTCTTTGTTAGGGTCAGCTTTTCGATAAGTTTTTTTTTGTGTGTGCTAGCCTCAATACGCTAGCGCCGGCCAGTCGGAAACTTTGCAGACTGCCAACTGTTTGTTTTGTAAACTGGAACATTTCCAGCTCAATACATGCGTTACAAAACTATCAATGTGGCTTATAGTTAAACAGAATAGAGCAAATGTGAAATTTTCGCTCGAAAATAAACGTATGTTCGTGCAGTTGGCGTAGATTTTTCCAGGGCACGCCACGTGTTATCTTGCTCGATCAGTGATTCCACCGTTAGTGTTTATAATAATTGATTTTTTCTAGATAATCATAGAGACCATAAGCTCTCAACCAAGGCCATGTTTATTTGCATCAAAAGTGGCATTTTATTGACATATCTTTCGCCTGCGCAATTTTGAGGCAAAAATAGATGTGCCCTTTGCCATGCTATGATTATGTTAAAACATTTCCTCTGAAGAAAGGAGTGTAATTTCTTTATTTGGGTGTTTCAAAATGCTAATTCTTTTCAAGTTGACGGAAATCCTAGATTCAGCCGAGGTTGAATGAGTGTGTAAATGGTCGTTGAAACTGACTTATCAGTTTTTCTTAGGGGGCAGCAAAGTAACCTGGTGCAACGAAATGTAGCTTTCTGTAAATTAATGTTCTGAGAACCTTTAAGTTGCTCATTTCCGAAACCAATTTGAATTGTCCACGGTCTGTGCACATCACAGAGAAGCGATGAACATTTAACTCCAGACAATTTCAAATCCTGTCGTGCCGATGTAAAGTTTTTTTTTT